GGCTTTCAGCAGATTGCTGAACACTGGTTCCCTCAGTCAGATACTGGAGAAACAGAACAAACACAAATTGCTGAAGGAACTCTAAGTCTGGCAACATCTAAAGGAGGGAAAGCAGAGTTGGCATTTTGAGTATTGACCCTTCTTCAGAAACGTTAAACTTTCCAAAGCGTTTTCCCCACAGATTCTGCCAGACCTGCTGAAATTCTCCAGCAATTTCTGTTGTTTCAGATTTCCAGCAACCACAGTTCTTTGTTTTATTTTACCGCAGATAGGACTGCAGAGAACTCCCTGACTTTAATTAGGCTCAATATTTGCAGTTAAATAAACCAAAACTTAAAACGACAAAGGTGAATCTATCAGATACTACTAAGTTGGTCAGATCTTGATATCGAATTGTTTGAGTATTCTTTGTATTGTATTCAAAGTGTTATGGACTAGACCAAACCACATCAAAACGTACTAAGAGGATAGCCCTAGGCCCTGACTTTGTCTTATTTTTCAAAGTCAAATGTAAGGCGTTGTGTTCCGTATGCAACTTGATTGGTCAAACTTAAAGCAAAACACACTTTATTCTTATACTATAGTTAAGATACAGACAAAATAAGAACAAAAATAAGATTAGCATAACTGTAACTCAATTGGAATACTTAACAATATATGTTAATTACCACTGATTAGCTATTCCAAGATAATAACATCCCATAAATGCACCCCTGGAGAGACAAATTCAGTAAAATAGATAGTCTCACATGCAAAGTTTCTCCAGTCCAGGAGGAAAGAACATCAAGAGAAAATTCTGAGACAAAGACAGAGCTCAAGTGCTTTGCTGTAGCAAGGAGAAATGTACAGGAGCTCCCAAACTTCAACAGTTACTGAAAGCTAAATTAAAATCCTGGCTCTTTGAGAGCTTGACCCTACCCCTTCATGTTGCTTCTATTGTTCCAACTTTAAAAGAAAATCAAAGCCTTACAAGCTGTTTACTTTATTGGCCTGGAACTGACCACTCTGTGCCTCTGTCTCAACCTTACTGTATCAAAACAAAACCAGGACAAAATTTACCTCGTACAGCCATTCACAAAAGTAGTCAAGCAAAACTAGAGAGGTCAAGAGGGTTTAGAATAGGGGCAAGGGATCATACGTCGAAGCTATGGTATATCTAAGAGTAGAGACAAGATAAGAGGGAAATAGTAAAATGAGAATTTGGAAAAAAAAAGTGGCAGGGAGAAAAACCTCAGAATAAATCAACAAATCAAGACTAGATGTTACAAAGATAACAAAAACATAGAACTAAAGGTTCATTGCAAAGTAAACAAATTAATTGCACACATTGAAGCAAAAAAGGAAAAACAAACAATCTGATAGCCATGATGGAGACATTCAGAATGACAAGAACTGGGTCCTGAATATTTAGAGGTGTATGACATTCAAGAAAAACAGGAAGCTAGGTAAAAGGTGGAAGGGTAGCAATGCTAATCAAGAATGGTATTTGTGTAATAATTAGAGATGTAATAATTAGAGATGCCCTTGGCTTAGGGGTTCTGTATGTAGCATCAGTCTGGGTAGAGAAGAAAAAAATAGCAGGAGAAATAAGTCACAGTGGGAGGGGTCTATGGGCCCCGAAAAGTTATTAAATTGTGGAACAAAGTAAACAAGAAGAAATATTGGGTGCTTGGGATACAGAGACTGCAAAAAACATGGGTGACTTTATATAAAAACTGAAATGAAAAATTAAGTCAGCAATAGTAGTCTGGATGAGGAGTTCACAAAATTATTTCAAGATCACTTCTTAGAGCAGGTTATGATGGTTTGGTATTGTGACAGATTCATTGATGACTTCAAAGTTAAAGCAACCCTAGATAGCACGACCATAACATTATTTAATCTTACATTTGGATTGAAAGTGACAAATTGGATTTCCCAATAGTATTTTGATGGGAATCTGGAATTCAAAATACAACAGGTCAGCCATGTTCTTACAGAACGACTGAGCAAGCTCCTCTTTTGTACGTTCATGTGCTTTCAGTTTGCTTGTTGTGCTCCCAGTGTGTTGAGAAGTCCACCCATACTGGGATAATAACAGCCCCAGTTGGATGTAGCCCCAGGCACCTTTCTGTCATGGACTTAAACTGGCCTGGAGGCGCAGTATGGTCGAGTCCCCATGTGCCACCACCTGCCTAATTAAATGCCCTCCCTGCCTTCAAACTGATCACTGGGGAGGGCTTAAAATAGTGTACTAGATATTTATTTTTGTACCATATAATGATAATATTACAATTGTAATAGTTACTCCAATATTCAAGCAAATTTATGACTAGAATATATGATGATCCTGTGGAAGCACTTTTGGCTATGAATCAAGTTTAAGTTAACATCAAGCAAACATTCATAAACCTAGAACAGATTCCAGAATAAGTTCAGCAAAATTATTTTCCAGGCTAAAGAGAAACTTTACATAAATGCTCTCTATTTATAAAGACAGTGCAACGAGTAAGGTATTAGTTAGGAGTTGGATGCAGTAAATTTAAAAATTTGACCTTTGATTTAAAAATGGACTGTAAAGATTCAAGATTATGACCTATGCAAGTATTAGAAAGCAGTCATGCGTTCATGATATATATTTTCACATTAATTTTTTAAAAATCTATAAAATTTCCATACCTGTACAGTTTTAGTTCACGTAACGAAACCTTCATGGAGTCAATTATAGGTGGGAGATCAGTAGAACCTTTCTGTTTAATCATTGAGAAACTGTTCTGAATAATGACAAAACCAAAATCTGCAACAACAACATTTTTTGACACAGGAGATTGAGGTACAACAACGACAGGTGCATTGATATGAATGTCAAGTTGCATTCTAGTGCTCCGTTCTGCGAGATCCTTCACACCAGATGCTGCTTGGACAGTTGCTTCTGTGACAGCTTCTCTGGCAGCTTGGAAAACATTTAAGAACGCCTGAAACAAGCGAAATGCTGTTATGAACAGAAGCTAGGTGCACTATACTGAAAAAAATAATCTACAGGAGTTCAGGCAAAATGCATGTTTACAATGAAAATACAAACTTTTTTTAAATGCACACGAAGGTACAATTCACATTCTGCACACTTCTTGAGTGAATTTTAAAAATTTCCTCACCAGTACTGATGACAAAAACTTCTTTACAAAGATGACTTGGATACAGCCAACTGTCAATTGAACACAACTATCAACTACATCCATATTGGAATAGGCTAAACCTTCTGTCGCATCCACATGAGAGATTATTTTGAAATTGAAGACCTCTTTACCAGCAATGGAAACAGCCTTTGAAATAAAAAAAAATTAATGAACATAGAACAGTACAGCACAGTACAGGCCCTTCGGCCCACAATGTTGTGCTGACCTATTATCCTACAAAGATCAAACTACCCTGTATACCCTACATTATACTATTATCCATGTACCAAGAGTTGTTTAAATGTCACTAATGTATCTGACTCCAATGAAGCACTAACTTCTTAAAAAATTGCAAAAATAAGCAAATAAAAGCTGTTAAATTTTACTTCAATTAAGGAAGATATTACTGCCATACTTGTACAAAACCAAATGCGTTCACAGGTACAGTTTTCATATACGATTTTATGACTGAGTTGAGAATCAATGATTAATGATGGACTGAAGCTATGGTGACCTAGCTTACAGCTGTCCCCAATAATGCAGAAGATGAACAGAAAGATACTGTGCTTTAATGCTGGTACATCAGAAATACCTTTTTGTATACTGCATCTTTGCTGGAATCCAAAACTACAATATTCTTCAGTTTTGCTGTAACTTCTGATAAAGTCTTCCTCAAAGCCACCTCAACATCAAGACCTGTCCAAATATAACAAATAAGTGATGAAATTTGACACACATAGGATAATCCTTACCTACATACGACTCCGCAACAGCAGCAATGTGGTTGACTGAAATGAGCTAATAAGCTACTCGAGGGAGGAGGGTAACTTCTTCAGGGTAGGCATCCTTAGAAGAGGCTTTGCAGCGGGGTTAAAATTGTTTCAGAGATAGTAGGAACTGCAGACGCTGGAGAATCTGAGATAACAAGGTGTAGAGC